TGGCCACATGAAGTGAGAGGCAGGGCTGAATTTTTTACCCTTCATCAGAGCTTGCCCAAAGAGGATGATGAAACTGAAAGGTCAAGGTGCTTGCATGGAAATGTCGAATTACAACAGTAACTGGGGTGATAACAGTGCCCAGTGTTCTGGGCAAACAACAGCTGGGCAAACAAGTCACGTTCTGTCTGTCTTGCAATAAAATTGTCTTGGTCATCTCAAATTTGTACTTTTTTTTTCCCCTCCTGGTGCTTAAGTGGTTGGGAAATAATAAATGGTTGCCACTTCCCTAAGCACAGGGAGAGGGCTTTTCAGTGGGACTTCCCACTTACGCTGTGAATGAAACAGGCTTGATTCATCTCACAGTTAATGTACTGTTAACATTTTTCCTGGGTTAGATGTCACCCAGTGTTGACTCTCAAATACCATTCCAAGTTTGTGCAATGTCTCTCAAGTGCCATATTTCAGTTGCCTTTTTACTGGTCTCTGTTTTACACCAGAAAATCTTCTTATATCTGGGTGATTTCCTAATGGATAAGAAAACACCATGGGAATTCATTTACTGTGTCTTGCATTTAGGCATAGGATGACTTGGTTGGTAGGCAGCCTTTTCCTGATGTCTTTCCAAATTCATGTTTATAGTGACCAAAACCCATGGAAGAGTCAGTTTCTGGGGGATGCTTTCCTTTCTCTTTTTTTTTCCAGTAAAAAAGAGGAGTATTTCCCCACTATGGATTGTGTTTTGGTGCAGAGGGGAGGATGGTTGCTGCTGCTTTGTGATTCACTGCTGGAGGCCAGGATTGGTGTCTGGGTCTCTGGGTGTCCCAAGGAGCTTTGTCCAGGCTTGCAGGCTCTTTGAGCAGTGCAGATAACGTGGCTGCTGGTAAATACAGAGCCAGATATTGGAAACACCTCTGTGGTTCTGGGGGCTCTTGGCATCTCCACCTGCCCATCCACACTGTTGTCTGGACACACAAACACGAGCTGGTTTTTCATGGCCCCGACAATTGTTCACTTGCAAGCACGTGGTGGAGATTTAGGATGTAACAACGACAGTGGGGAGGAATGTGTGAAAAGAGCTTGGAGATGTCAGAGCACCTGCTTGTGAGGAGAGGGCCACGTTAGCAGAGCTGTTGGCTAGCAGTAAACAGTCCTGGCACCCTTGTTTCAGGACTTGGCAGCAGCGGGAGTTGAACCGAATCCAGCTTTACTCTCTACTGCCTGTTCAGTAAGTTGAGGACAAGGCAGATGATTAAGGAAATGTGGGGAAACTGCTACAGAAGCTTTTGGAAAGATAAGAGACTTTGGTCTCCATGTCTGACAGTCTGGCACTTCTCACTAGCATTGAATTCACATGCAAATCAAAGGCAACATCTACTCCCACAGGAAGCTTTATTAATGTACAGGCCTGCTTGCGAATCTCCGTGCTGATGAAGGTTGTGGGACTGACTTCACTCAAATTAATTTCCCTGTCTATCCTTGGCTGAGCACTGTGCAGCACCGGCAGCCTCAGCAGGGCTCCCACGCCCGCATCCAGGGATGAGCTCCGTGCGGGAGCGGCACTGCCTGGAACCAGGGGAGGGGGGTAGAGGTGTGATGCTGCTTGGCTTGGATTGTGCAGGTGTCCACCCTGCTTGAACTGACATCAGCAAAGTAATTCCATGAAGGCAAACTCTGAATGGGCTTGTTTTGTGTGTGAGAGGAAGGAGGGTCAGTGTGTCCCAAGCCATCCGTCTTTCTTGTACGGGTCCTGTCATGTGTGAGGAGTATGGATGAGGCTTGGAAGTGGTAAGGACAGGACTTGGTCTGAGGTAGGAGGGAGGAAAGGCTGACAAGGAGAAGTAGAAAGGCAGAGGGATGTGGAATCCCTGGGTTCACTGTACCACCAAGGGACATGGTGGCTCCTTGATGCAGATGCTCAGTAAGAACCATATCTGAGCTATAAACAACCTTCCACATCTTAAACCCGAGCTCAGCTGATGCTCAGCTTTTATTTTTGTCAGTTATTTGTAAGTGAAAAAGTGAAATCTTGAGAGGAGAAATGGGAATTGCCATTTCAAGCTGCAATCCCTGGAATGTCAGCATGTTGCCATCTCACTTGCATCAACCTTGTTTTTCCCGTTGATGTTCCTGTCCATCCTGGCTGCTTGTATCTCTGATACTCCCTCTAGCCCACTTCTATTCTTTCTAGTTCTTTCCTTCCTGCCTTGCTCCACCCCCTGTGCTGGTCTTTCCCTCTTAGTATCTCTGGTCCCACCAGGTTTGTGCCAGCACAAGTGACAATTAGACATGGAATGTGATGGTGTAGATGTCACCTTGAATGGAGACCCTCACAGTAGTGGGTGAGGATGTGAGTGAGGGATGTGGGTGCTGTGCAGCTGGACTGGAGCAGAGACAGAGCTCTGGCTTTATCCAGCAGAGCTGTGCCAGTGCCAGCCTGTCCCCACAGCCAGAGACCCTCGTTGGTGTGGGGTCAGTCATAGGAAGGGTTTATGGTGGCAGTGGCCACCCCACCAAGCTGTATGGAGCTTTGTGGCCAGCTTGAGTAGAGAGCAGGCATTTCTTGCATGGCTACTTGTTCTGGGAATCTTCAAAAATTTCTGGCAGCCAGTTTAATTGTGCAACCTCTCAGCTGCCAGAACGGATAGAATATGATCATATCACATGAAATGCATGCAGGGTCTGCTATAGCAACTGTATTTCAAAGAGACAACACATATGGTGACTGGTTCTTTTTGGAATAATATCTATAAGTTGATGATGTTTTATTCAAAAAGGCTGTAGCTTGAAAGGTTAGGGATGTTCTGATTGTTTAGTGTATGATTAAAGAAAGGCTTCTGTGTTTTTTTTTGGCCTATTGAATCTAATTACTGGGAACTAAAATGATCATTTGATTGCACATTTACCTGGAATTATTCTTCTGCAGAGCCAGTCTTAATAATATATAATAATATGTTGCGCTTGTACTGTATAGAGCTTCTTGTCTGAGCAACTCAGAGTGCTTTACAAGTATTCATTAATTAAATAAGCCATACAACACCCCTGTTAAATAAGTGAGTATTTGTTGCCCATCCCCTTAAGTCTTGAGGTTTTATTTCTGCTGCCTCTGCCCACCCTTGAAGATGCTTTAACAGCTAAATAACTTAATTCAATAAAAATAAGGTATTTTTTAACCATCCTTAGCGCATTCTGCATAAAGGTTTCTTTTGTTGCATTGAATTCTTTGGCAGGCTGTAGGGTTTCCTGGTTCTTGATGATGCACCATTGTGGGGTGGTGGCTGTGTTTGTCTAAGCCCAGATCCATGCCCAGCAGCTCCCTGCACCCATTGCAGGGACATGGACCAATTCAGAAACGTTATGGGTGCACTAAGTTTCAACCAACTCGAAATGCAAAATCTAATTTTACCTGCACCGTGCCAAGCTCTGCTGGAAATTGCATCCACCCTTGGAGAGTTTTTCTGATCCAGTGGAGACTTGTTATTAAATTGGAAAGGAGGGCTTGTTGCCAAAGCATTATAAGGTCTCTCCTGCCCACTTGCCCTGGTCAGCAGTGGTGGTTCTCCAGTCCACTGAGCTGACCAGCATCTCTCCAAAAGTAAAAAGATGGGTCTAGGCCATAAAATAGCAAGGTTTTACTGGGCTGGGGGGGGTTGAATTCGAGTTTGCAGACCTTGATATCAAACCTTTCCCAGCAGTTCTGCCCTGAGATTAAATACTCTGCATCTTGAAGGAGCAAGTGAAACCTGAAGCATATCTGACTTCTTAATTAAATAGGTATTAATTAAATCACTCAGAGAACATACACAGTAGGAGTGGGGAAGGCTTTTTCCCTCCTTCCATGTAGGCATCTTGCAAAGGGACTATTTTTCTTGTTTTACATTAATGAAGTCTTCAGCCTTCCCACTTTTCCACCTACACATGTACTGAACGTCTCCAAGGAGACCAAGGAGGCCCGGGTCCGGTGCTGGTGAATCCTCCGGGAGCAGCAGGCTGGGGTCTCGCCAGCAGAGCCTCAGCTGTGCCTCAGTCTGTCTTGCAGGGAGCATCCTTGCTGTCCCCTGCCTGGGGAGCCAGGAGGGAGCCAGGGCAGGGACTTGCTCCTCGTCTTTCCCCTCTCTTATCTCCTCTTGCTTTCTTTTCCCCACCTGATGGAGAAAGGCTCCAGTTTTGAGGGACTCTTCTTCACTTTGCTTGACGTTTTGCAATAATTCCCCCACATCCTGCCTGCTCGTGCTTTTCAGGGTCATGTCCCTTGCCCCTTTGCTGTCACACTGTCCCTTTGCTGCTGTGCCCCCTCCCAGTGAGTCCCCACAGCTGGTCCATCATGAGCTGACAGTGGTTTTCATAGGATCATGGAATATCCTGAGCTGGAAAGGGAATCACAAGGATTATCAAAGTCCAGGTCCTGGATTTTGGTGAGGTGAAATGCTGTCCCTGCTTTTCTTTGCATTCTCTCCAACTCCTTGCAGCTTTTTCAGCCTTCAGCACAGTTCTGCCTGCTGCTGCTTCTCCTCTTTCTCTCACCATGGCCTTCCAGAAGCTTCCCTGATGTTCTCTGGTGCTCAGGGGAGCAGACAGTGATATACGACTGCCCTCTTCTGTAAACCCAACCTGATCTGCTGGAGAGGAGGCATCTGAAAGCTGAAAGAACAGGAGGCTGCTCATTAGTGAGGAGGCCTGTGAGCTGCTCCAGGAGGGCAAAAACATCTCCATGGAGCTCACCAGCAGGATTCCTGCAGTTACTTGAGGCTCCCACCCAGGAGGCGAGCATCAGCTGCTGCTGGGTTTCTGCTTAGTCAAAATGGGAAATCAGTGGTAGGATATCACCCCATTGCATGCGAGGTGTTATTTTTGTGGAAAAACCACTGCTTTCCTCAGTGGAGGTGCATCAGGATTGGAGCAGTACCCCCTGACCAGGGATTGCCTTCCCCATATGCTATTTGTGTAGCTCCCCATGGCCTCTTGGCTGTGAACTCAATTCTCCAACCTCTTTCTCCCTACAGGCTCTCCAGGTGGCACGACAGCTTCTCCTGCAACAGCAGCAGCAGCAGCAACAGCAGCAGCAGCAGCAGCAACAAGTTAGTGGATTAAAGTCTCCCAAGAGGAATGACAAACAGCCAGCCCTTCAGGTAAGGGGAGCCTGTGAGCCTCCGTGAGGGTCTGGGGCTTGTGAAAGCTGTATAAATGCGTCTTTCATGCAAATACTGGGATGGGAGCTTCAGGAGCTTCCTCCCTGTGTCCACAGAGTGGCTGTGGCTGGTGTAAGTGGCAGCAGAATTGATGCTGGGTGCTCTTGAAAGTCCCACCTACGGCGTATTTACAAATCGTGAGCGTGTACTTTTATTAGCGTCTGGTAGGGTTGGATCATGACAAAATGGAATAGCTTTTGTTACTGTGTCAGTGTGCATAGGAGATTTGCATTAACATTTCTGTTTGATTGCTGTTCCATTTGTAGTCTGTGTTCACTCAAACCGTTGATTTGCTGTGTCAAGGATATTGGGAAATACTAGGATATCATATCATCGGTGTGTTTTTTCCCCTTTTATTGTCTGCTGATTTATGGACATCTTCAGAAATAAAATCTAAATATTAGAGGGCTTTGTGCTGTTATGAATTCAGAGAGCTAAAACCAATACAGCATTCCCAAACAGAAGATGTATGCACACATATGGGGCTTTGGAGTACATTCTGCTAGTCTTATGGGATAAATCACAGGGAGTTAAAGACAAGAAAGACCTATTAGGTCATGTATCACAGTTTCCTTTTTTTTTTTTTTTTTTTTTTTTTTTTTTTTTCTAGTATTAGAAATCCCAAGTGATGGTGGGACTGCTATTATTTTCCTTCAGATAGTTTTCCATAACAAAGCACACGCTCAGGAACTTTCCACTTTAATTCCATCCTCTTGCTCCAAGTAATACTGCTTGTATAAATACTGAGTCAGTCCCTTGCCTTGCCTCGTGTTCACACTCCTCAAACATCTGAGATACTAACATATACTTGCCAGTTTTGGCAAATTATATGTATCTAGTTCCTTATGTATTTCGTAAACTGGCACTTCCAGACCCTTGACCACTTTGCTGGTGTGCAGCTGGTTATTGCTTTTATTACTGCTCTCTGCAATTGCAGCATGTCAGTGGATTTTTGATAATAAGGTCCTGAATGCAGCAGTTCAGCTGCAGTTGCACAAAGCCCTGTAGCTGGGACATTTATTGTATCTCACTCTTCTATATCTGATGCTTCAGCCTCTGTAGCCCCAAATTCTTTCCGGATTTTTTTTTTCTCCTCTTGTTGTCATAGCACGTTGTCAAACTCATGTCTGTTTTGCTCTTTCTACTTTTTTTTTTTTTTTTTTTTTTAGTTTGATATACTATCACCATGAGCTCCCTGACAGCATTGCTGCTTCTTTTGCCTTTTATATGTGCTTCAGATTATTTTCCTACAAAAATATGGATGCTAGGGTCTTTAAATATGTAGTAGAATATGGAAGGTAAAGCCAACATCGCTTTTTAGGCCTTGACAGTAAAGTGAGAGGGCCCAATTCTGTGGTTCTTACCCAAATAAAGCTGATGGGGACTTGAAGGGGAGTTTTGCCTGAGTGAGGAATAGCTGTTAGCTGCAGCCCTTGGCCCAGTGTGGACAACGTCGAGCTTTGGTGTAGTGATTTCATCTTCAAAGCATTTTGCAAATACTAATCTCCAAAACATCCCCAGAAGGAAAGTCTGATAAGTAAGTAGCATTATCCCAGTTCTGGACTGGGAAACTGAGGGATGCGGGTTAAGCAACTCACTTAGGATCACAGAGGGAATTGGGTTTAGAGGTAGGATTAAGATTCATGAGTTCCTGGCTCCCACCCCTGTGCTCCAGCTGCTGGACAACACCTCGTGCTTTATAGCCGGGCTATTATTCTTTTGGAAAGTATGAAGCATTTTGTCATTGGGCAAATATACGTTTTATTGGCAGCATCGAGAGCTATAATCCAAAGCGTTACATTAATGCTTTCAAAAATATTTTATTTGGTAAATCCATAGCTGATCCATATGCCTTTTAATAGACTCTTCCACTGGGGACATTTTTAATGAGAGATTGTGCTGGCTAGGTCCAGTGTCAGGTACTAAAAGAAGTGCTTTGTTGTGCAGATGTCTTAAGAATAGCTCCAGAGGATGAAATATGACTGTGTTGACCTTTCAGCTGTGAGCTTATTTGTCAGGATTCAAATAAGTTGAAAGGATCAAACCAAACAGTTTCCGTAGTCAGACTGGGAATTGTGTTGCAGAGGTCAACAGTGAAGGCCACATCGTGGATTCCATAACATAGCCAATTGTTGGTACATATTAAAGTACTGGAGCAGCTCCTGCAGTCAGAGACACAATTAAAATTCTAATTTATTAATGTATACAGAGAGCTGGCCCAGCCTGTCACTCACTGATTCAAATGACTGCCCAGTCTTTTTTTTTTTTTTTTTCCCCTTCTCACTCCTGGTGCTTCTGCGGTCTGAAACATACTGGAAGTCCTCTTGGATGTAACACCCCCAAGTGCATCCCTGTAATGAAAATCTGTTGCTGAAAGGAAATGGTGCTGCTGGGGGTAGAATTTTTGAGTAAAACTGCACCCACACAAGCACCCACACCCCCTGAAGTCAGATGGGGCCATGCTGATGAAGTGACACCTATTGCTGACAGTATGTAGAAAAAATGTCAAGGGTGGGGGAAACGTGCCCGTTTTTCATAAGTTTGTTTAAATAATGAACAAGTTATCTTTGGGCTTCACTTCCAAAGATAGATGTCTCATTCAATAGCCACAGCAGTTATTAGCAGTCACCTGGGTTTTTTTGTGACAAACAGGCTTCATGTATAACAAGAACACCATAGGCGTCGCTCATCCCTGCTGTGCTTGGCGAGGGCACTGGTGAGCAGTGCCCAGCACGAGTGCTGGGGAGCTTTGCATGGAACAGGGAGGGATGCTGTCTGCCTGGGCTGCTGCTTCCCCCACTAAAATGTTCCACAGCCCTGCCTGCCCCAGGAGGGGAGGCCAGTACTCAGGCTGGAAATGCACCCTCTAAACCCCCCCCACCACAAACAGAAGCAGAAGATTAATACTGTGTAGCTAATCTGTAACCACCTCATGGATAATTTCCTCTGTTCCTTCTTTATACCCTGATTAAATAGCCAAGGTACTTAAATATATCCCAGCGTCCTGTGGCCACGCTGGTGTCTTCAGTAGTGTTCAAATGACACTGGGCTCCTGCAATGCTCTTGGGGGGGGTCTCTTGATCTTGGCAACTCTACCTCAAGATCTGCTTTTAGCAAATCATGAGATACAGTGTGTGTAAGAACTTGGAGGCAGGACTGGAGATGTGCTCTGCTGATAGCTGAAAAACCCCAAATCTCCAAATACATGATGACTCACATTTTGAGCCTATCATACACTGCCGTGGCTTAGATTTGGCAGTGACCTCCGATTTTGCAGCCTGATGACACAAACAAAAGAAAATTGAAAGTTAAGAAATGGATTTGATAACCAGCAGTTGGGGAAAGAACATAAAAAATATCAGTCCCACAAAAATTACTGGAAGTGAAAAAAAGACTAAAGGCTGTTTGATAATATATTTGCCATAGACATTGGATTTCCTTGAGTCTGTGAAACAAATAATTTAAGAGACCAGGTATGCTTAGGATTTTGAAAATGTGCACATTTTTCCTGGCCAAGATAAATATATCTGTATTAATAGATGTATTGATTAAAATTTGCAGCTTTAATTGCCGATGCTCTTACCGATTATTCATTTTGGTTCTTCAAGCATTTTAGTTGCTGGCAAGAGCACACAGATTGGAAACAAATCAAGAGACACATTTTTCTCCCAAGAAAGTAAAAGTGCATGTGTGTTTTGGCAATACTAAAAATACAATTTTTTTTAAAGACGTAAATGTTGTGTATTGCATTGAGCTGGAAGTTGGATACTGGACTGAAAACAAATTTAGGATGTCCAAATCAGTATCTCGCAATTGAAACCCATCACTTGACTTCTTTTAATGTGATTAAATGAGATTTCTTGTGTGATCATTAACCTGCATGTGTTTGGAGAGAAGAAATAATGTAATTACTGGGATGGAAACTTTTGTTTTTGCTTGGCAAAACAAAAAAATAAATCTTTCCTTTAAGTCACGGCCAAGAAAAGAATTTGGGCTTGGTTTAAATTCTCAGGGTGAGACTGGGGGAGGCTGAGAGGACAGAGCTGTCCTCGCCTTTGCATACCGCTGCTTTTTAAAGCAGCCTTTTGGCTGGGCTTTTGTAGAATTCAATTTGCATGCTATATTATCTTAATATATCTTTCCAGTATCTTGAGAAATAGAAGAGGGTGAGAGGAAAAAATAACTGTAGCTTGCTGTTGGGGGCAATTATTATTGTTTTGGTTTTTTTTTTAATTAGAAATCGTTAGTTTGACAACGTAATGAACACTGAGAGGTGAAGGGCAGGGTATGCTCCGTTTCACTTGGAACACACAAGTCTCAGTTAGGTTGTCTCAAGTTTTACACCCAGGGAACCTTTTTTACATCGTGGTAAATTTAACAACTGGTAGAGAAATTGCCTCAGCAGATAATTTGGCAGAATAAGTAAATTTGCAAATATATTTATTCTATTTGTATGAGTATCTCTCTGCTTCACTCTTCAGTACAGGAATTGATCAGAATTTTGCCTCAGTTTGGCACCAACCCATCTTGGGTCAAGATTTTGCTTCTGCAGGGTTTGAAGTGTGCCTGTGAAAATTTCACTTGAATCTTTCACTATCTGTTTTTGACTTTGGAAATTAAGCGAAGTTGAGTTTTATTGGTTTCTACCAAAGAACCCCTTCGTTTTTGGTTTTTTTTCCCACCCCTAAGCCCAATTATAAGTGTTAGTAAGTTCTTGGAATGTGTCTGTGAAATGCAGACATCATCCACCCCACAAAGAGAACAAAATCTGAGTCAGATCCTCAAAATTACATGATCAGCTTGAAAATTTTGGTACTAAGGGTTTTTTTTCATGACACCTATAGGCCTTTTTTGCTGCCTTTTTATATTTAAAGCATTTACTATTCCATTTTTCCAGCTTTTTAGAATGAGCAGAAAGGTGACAAATATGTTTATTCTTA